ATAATAAATATTTACATGTAAAAAAAATAAATAATAGTATATTTAAAAATATAACTCAGAATTTCAAATAAAGTAAAAGGAGGGATAAAATAATATTAATAAAATTGTTAGGAATGTGATTATATGAAAATCAAGATAAAATAAAATTTACCCAAAAAATTTGTTTAGGATCTTTTTCTTTAGATGTTTGAATTTAAAAATCGTTTATATCACATAAGGAAAAAATAAATAATAAACATTTATTAATGTATTAAAATATGTAATTTTGGATTTCATATAATCTAATTGTTTACCAAAAAATAAATAATAAACATTTACTAAATAATAAACAAATAACAATATCCTTTTAACAATTAATAATATCTGATTTTTACCAAAATATTATCCAATTGTTTACCATATCACTTATCAATTAACAATATCATATTGTTTACCAAATCTTAACAATATTCGATATCTATTTTAAACAAATTGCATGGGCAGAATTCAAACAAATTGCATGGAAAAAACAAAAATCTTTACAAAAAATGATAAAAAACGAAATAAATAATAAAGTATATAATTTATTATTATAAAATATAATATTTATGTGACTTACATAATATTTTATGTTGTGCGTCTGACATATATGATAAGTAAGTTTTTTTTTTTCGTATATTATGAAAGGTGAAATCCACCCATATACTATTATTTTAAAAATATTTTATTTTAATTGATTATTATTTTAATTATATAATATAAAAAAAATTGAAGATAAAAATAGTAAACAACGTATTCAAAAGACATAAAATAATAAAAATATGAAAATAAAAAGATGAACAATTCGTTTTACTAAATTAATGTATTTATATATAACTTAAGAAATTTAGAAGCAAAATATTAACTAAAACATGAATGTTAATTTTCTTAATTTTTTTTTAAAATACATTTGTTTATAATTCCATGAATTAGTATTTTCCACATTACATCAATTTCTACAAAATCAATTCAATTAAATGAATCAATTTGACTCATATGTTTATCACGATAAACCACAGCTTCGACAGAAACGAAATCCTTACTTAAAAAAAAATAATAATCAAACCTCAGAAAATCAAATACAATTCAGATCGTGAAGAAAACAGAGAAAAAATATTGGAACATATTAGTGCACGAACCGTACGAAAATAAACTGCGGCACATGCAAGCATATAACGTTCGTCTATATTTCGACAAACGAAAAACAACCGATCTCGCCATTTTTAACGCATCAGCAACAAAGTACGATTGCATTTCTTTGATTTCAATCACTCAACAAATATAAATATATATATATATATATATATATATATATAATCACAAGAAATAATAAATAATTTTTATGAAACGAATGAAATGATAATATCTGATTTTGGGCATAATGGTTTTGAACGCTGGTAGAAGAAAAATATTGGGGAAGGAATCACTCTAGTTATAGAGTTAACAAAATTGGAGTTTTTGGTAAGACAATTTCAATAATTATTTGCAAGATATGTTAGTATTTTAAAAAATGCTAAGATCGCACATAATTCGTTGTTATTAGTTAAGAAATCAGATTTAATTTAGATATGAGAGATTAATTACTTCAATTCAATATGGAGGCGTGTATATAGTTAACAAAATCCCATAATTTTGGGAAGACAATTTCAATAAGTATGTTAGAGATCTTGTAGTAGTATGCAAAATGTGAAATAACAAATCGCACAAAATCCGTTGACATCTATTTATAATATCCGAATTATTTTTTGAAATGAGAGATGAATTCATTAATTAATCAAATTAATCAAATTATATAATTACGTGTGGGGCCTATTATTTTTACTTAAATTGGTAAGTCAAAACATTATTTTTCAAGTCAACCTTACTATTTTTGTATTTTTCCAACAACCTCTTTATATTACTATAGATACTAACAACTAATCATACTTCCTTTTTTTTGCAAAAGTAACGATTATTAAAAAACAAACTAAATAAAAAACTAGTTGTATCCATAAACAATCACCCCCTATGATTTTGAAAGATAATTAATAACTATTTTGTTATTCTACTTCACACCAAATTATTTAAGCCAATTAGAACAGCTAATAGAAAATACATGAGACAAAGACCTAACACATAGAACATAGTGATAAAATATAAATTCAACACTAAGATACAATATCGTGAAAATTTCCAAAGCGTACAAAAATATGTAGTAAAATAGTAATTATAAATAATAATTCGAACATTTTTTTTTTCTTTTGAGAAAAACATGTCACTTAAGAGTTTGTAATGAGTGTTCATACATGAAATGTAGTTGTATATATATAGAGCGGTAAATACTAAATAGCCGTTGAAAACAATCGTGAACTAGCCGTTGTAATTTTTTATTTATATGTTTTTTTATATATTATTATTATTATTATTATTATAGCCCGTTTAGCCCGAAGCCTGCCAGGGTTAGTGTTAAGTCCTTTTATTGGTAGCCCGTTTAAAACCGAACTTTTTAGGTCCAGACCGTTTAGCCCGAAACTCGTTAGGGCTAACCCGAAACCGCCAGGGCTAGCCCGTTTAACATCTCTACATCTGGCTGACTGAAATCTACCCTCTCGCTCTCTCGCCATTTTGACTTAGTGTCAAATGATCCAATCTTCTACTATACTATCTTATTGTATCTTCGAAAAAGCTACTTGTACAATTATTTTGTACAACATTTTATGACAACATGATGTGTCATGATGTAGATAGTTGAGATGCAAATAAATGTATGGCTAAGATTTAGCTCAATGATTGTGATAACTAGTGTTGTCAACCAATGTTGTCAACTATAGTTGTACATGTAGCATGACCCTTGTATCTTTATGAAAATGAGATTGTGAGTGTTGGGATCATCTTAGTCGGTTCCACTGTGGATCCGGAAACCGGAAGGTCCCTGTACCAAAAAAAAATCTTAGTGTCAACATGGTCTTTGTGAGAGGGACTTTTAGGGGTTTCGTGTACGGGTAGTTTTCGAGCCGAGCTTTGTGCGACGGCCGGTGGCGTTACTGCTGAGCTTGCAGTGACGGAGTGATTGAGTCCACGAGTTCATCAATCTGTTTTTTGGTGACTTCTTTTTATTGACCCATCCTAGTGGCATTCGTAGCATTCGGGCCCTCGTATCAAAACTCGGTGAAGGATGTATTCGTTCTTATTTATTTCTTGTTTGTTTTCAACATTTTCAGTTTATCTATGATTGTTGATTGCTAAATTTGGATTAGCTTCGTTTTCAACTTGAAGCGGAGATACGGGATGTGTTCGGGACAAATTGGGCGATGTTCGTGATAAGTCGGGTGCTGTCTGGGACCTACTAGAGGCTGTTTAGGACCAATCGGAGTCAACCTGGGCCAAAGAGTCAAGGCGGACGACCACTCAATAGTGGTAGTAGAGTCTGGCTCTTGCCAGGTCGTCTGCTCGCCGCCACACATAAGACAAGTTCCTCCCGTAGGGCTCGCTCTGGTAAAATTGGTTGAAACCATTTCCTTTCATCGCTTTAGTAGTAGTAGCCCCTTGTCGGGGATAGTGATTAGCTGCAGTCCTTTAGCAAGAATCTGTTTGTTGGTAACATGCTGGTAGAATTTTAGGATCTTTGTGATTTATGTGATTTATCACTTTTGTGTGTTTATCGCTTTTGCTGGAAGCTCCAGTTGCATGCTTATGTGATTTATTACTTTGTGGTGATATTCTGTTGTGCTTGTTCGCTCTGTGTAAGTTGACGTGTTGGTAAGTTACTGTGTGATTCGTATCCGTGTGATACTTCGGCCATTGGCTTAATTTCTTTGTGAAATTTGCTTTATTTTGATATTTTCTATGTGAAATTAGCTTTGTGTCATTTTTCGTGCAAAACCTTGTGTGTGTGTGTTTTTTTTTTTTAAACGGCCTTCGTGCCACCTTTTA